CACACCCTGCTGCACAAACACTCCCTGCTGCACATCACACAAACCCTGCTGCACAACACATCACACATACATACCCTGTTGCACAAACACACACACACACACCCTGCTGCACACACACACACCCTGCTGCACAAACACACACACACCTTGCTGCACAACATACGAATTGCTGCAAAACACACACACACACGCTGCTGCACAACACACACCCTGCTGCACACACATCCTGTTGCAGGATCACGAGTACTAAAGCAGGTGAGATTGTTGTGTGGTGCGCCAAAATATTTCCCTGAACACCGCTCCAGACGAGAAAGCGATGTCAAGTATGCAGTTTAATTGCAAGAATGTGATACAACAATAAAGTATATGCACACGAGGCGTTCCAAACTGTACTTGGGGCTAGCTATATTTATTATGCTTAACTATTTACAATAATGTTATGATGACTATACCTTATAACATTTTCTGGAAATTAAAAACAGGTCATGAATGTGGAGTTATGACCGGCTGAAGAATGAGGCACAACAGCCATAAAAGCACTTAAATTAGATAATAACAGCAATCTATTTTAAACTATAAACTGTGCAAAGCACGACGATGATTGTGATGGACAGTCAACCTGGTGTGTCTGGAACAGCAAAACAGCAGGAATCGCAGCAGACTGTGCATCGCAAGATGACATCACCAGGACATTGTGCACATTGGGCCCTGTGATAGCCACAATCTAAAAAGAGCTGAGAGTGTGGCATGAAATGTTTAATATGGGCAGGGGGAGAAGGCAACGGATGACATCCTGACGAAGGCTCAACTTTGTGTCTGCTGAACTTCGTTTTGCACCAATACGTAGCCAACCGTACCCTCAGACAGAAGATGGCTGTAAATGTAGGAAGTATTTAAGTGCACCTTTCCCCCCTGTATTTTGAAGCAAACGTTCGGGTTGCGTTTTAAAACCTGACGAGCTGTACTACCCGGCTTCGCCCGGGACTTGGATTCACCACGCCCGGCCGCCTTTGTCTCCCCAGTGGCGATGTTCACACACCACACCAGTTACCCGTTTGATGCTGAGTCGACCTAGGGGAGGCCCAGGATCGGTTAAAATAATCGTCACAGGTGGTGGCCGTGAGCGGGAATCGAACTCGGGGCGCCGGGTTCGTTGCGCAGCGCGCTAACCACTACACTACCGCTCCCCACACAACACCCTGCTGCACAAACACACACACCCTGCTGCACAACACACAACAACAACAATCGCCATTCGCCACGAAGTGGCGGTGACGTCACCACGACGCTTGTGCCAGGCCATGTGCACCTTGAGGCTACGTGGAGTGTCGAACGCCCGCTGGCAGGAGGTCACGGGGCAGACCCAGGTGCCACGGGTCGACTGACTAAGATGACTGAGATGACTGGCTGATGCACTACCTGTGCCCCCTAATGTGCCAACCTGCTGTGCTTTAGCCACCCGGCGCTCCGCTCGTTGTTGTGAGCGTCGCTCCTCCGCCCTCGGTTGTTGTTGGAGGGCGACTGCCTCCAACTGCCCAGTAGCGTCCTTCACGAGCCTCCACAGAGGCCGATCTTGACACCGCTGGTACCAGTTATCGGCAAGTCCACTCAGCTCCACGTCCTCCTGTACTACATCACTCCATCTCTTCTCTAGCCCGTGCCGCGCCCGTTTAGCCCCCTCGATCCGGCCGAACAAAAGCTGTTTCGGCATGCGGTGGCTGGGCATGCGGGCCACATGACCCAGCCAACGCAGCCTTGCTTGCCGGAGGAGCTCACCGATGGGACCTTGCCCAGATCACACACACGGTCACACACAGACACACACAGACAGCGCGCTAACCACTACACTACAATGCGTTACGCTTCCACATGCGCGGGTCACGTGACAGATTTGACGTCACAGCTCACTTGCCGTGCAAAAAATATATTCATTATTGAGCTCCCCCCCCCCCCCCCCCAAAAGTGTATTTTAATAAATGTTTGCATGGTGTACAGTCTGGAAAGTACCCACATGGCAAATTTCAAGTTTGTTACATGTCGGGAAGTACGCTAAACATTTTGAACAGACACACATATTCACAACTTTGCCTTTTATATATATGGAGATAGCTGGGTATGTGTGTGTGTGCAAGACCATATTTGTATAACTTTATTCTGTGTGTGTGCAATACCAGATTTGTATAACTTTATTGACGCCGAGCACAGGTCAGGGGTGCGTCTTACTTTCCAAAGAATAGCATAATCTGGGGATTACGGTAACCTAATAATTTATTTACTAAAGTCTTTAAAGAAGCCGCCCGATTATACTGAATGTTTACACTGGAGTATGTTGTCGTGAACTGACGTGCTGTGTTTACAATTTATGTTGTTTGCTATTGATGTGTGCGGTCTGTGATGCCTGCCTCGCGTTTGATTGTTTACTTTGGTCACCGTTGGAAGTGATTAATAAATCATCGCTCTTGCCATCATTAATAATTCCGCCGACACGGCAAAAAACACTGCACGAGAGGACCTAGCAAACGCGTTGCAACACCACGGAGCAGATCAGAAGTCGGAACACAAGTTGTGTGTTTTGATGGCATACTCATCACACAGGGTTATTGCATCGTTCACTTTCATTGGCAATTAAACGTTATTCGTGCCACGTGCAGGTGTTGACAGCTCAGACGGTACCAACGTGTAAAAGTATTCGGCGTTTTTTGTACGTGCTTACCCCTGTCACCCCATATATCACGAGAGTGATATATGGGGTGACAGGGCAGACAGACCTTGCAGAGAAATGGTACTCGAAGAATGGTTCTGTGGCTTTGGGCCAAGACGACCCGAATCCAGACACGGCTAGGGAAAGGTCTGACACTTGCCCCAGGCGGCTGCATTGGGCGTAACCAGACTATCCCGTGCCTTGGAGAGCCCTGCAGGAAATAGGGAAAGGACTCCACTTTTTTGTGTGTGTTTTAGTCTTCCAAAAGTGTTGGCAATGTCTACGAAACAAACTCCGCGAAGGTGCACGCCACGTGCGTGTGCCTGCACGCCACTGGCTGGATGTGTCACGAGGCCTGTCGAGGCAGTCAGGAGGCTGTGGTTCGCGAATTGTTTTAATAATACTGAAGCCGATAAATGTGGATTAAAAAAATGTTTATCACTCTATCGTGGCTCGTGGGCCATGTGTCATATCAGACGATGTCTTGGGGTGGTCTCTATCCAGCAGTGGATTGATCATGGCTGATAATGGTGATGATAAAGCTTTCAAGGGGAATGTTAAAGGTCACAGTATGCAATGTTTAAGTTAACCTATTGTTTAGTTTTTCTCTCTCTCCATACATTACACGTGATGTACATTAAACAATAACCACATTTGATGTATGGAGGAAATCGAAATAGCTTCGGATTTACCCCCAAAAACGTGACGTCACAAGCAGTGACTTCCATGACGTCACAAGCCGCGGTTTTACCTCCACAAGTGGTGTCACGAGCCATCGGGTGACGGTCACTTTCGTTAGCCGGAAGGCACGTTGAGTTATTATGCAATATAATATACGGCAACAACAAGTTACAATGTAACTGGCATTGACCAAACATGTCCAATGCTGGAAAATTACACTGCCAATTATTCAACTGGGATGACACATCGAAACATCAGCGCCCTACTGTGAAAACTTGGCAAGACCCTCCTGAAAAAGAGTCTCGAGACTGAATGAAACGTCACTGACAAACAAGGATAAAAAAAACCGGAGAGATATATCATGTCAATTATCCGAAAAACTGAGAAAAATATAAAAAACATTATCTTAGAAGCTGAAAGTCCCATCCTTGCAATGCAAAGTTAATATCTGGTATATACTGCAGTTTGTAATTGGTTCTGCCTATGCGTGGTATACAATGCACGGGCACTTTATCTGCTGCCTTAGGAATTGCAGCGAATGTGTCCGCCCATGAGCAGCACATGGTTCACACATTTCTGCTCAGGGATCAACAAATGAACTTGAGTGGGGAGAGCGTGTTAGCCAGGGCGAGGGAGTCCGGGCGAGGAGGGCGAGTGAGGAGAGAAGGAGGGAGGAGTGATGCTGAGATGATGAAGTGGTAGAGGGAAAGGAGAGCGAGTTTGGGAGTGTGGCTGAAGTGAAAGAGTGAGGTTGGTGAGATGGGAGGAGTGTGTGTAAGGAGGGAAAGTGAGAGGTGGAGTGAGGTGGTTGGGTGATGGAGTGTGGGTGAAGTGATTGAGTGATGGGAGAGTGTGAGTGATGAGGGAGTGTGAGTGATGAGGGAGTGTGAGTGATGGGGGAATGTGAGTGATGGGGGAGTGTGAGTGATGAGGGAGTGTGAGTGATGGGAGAGTGTGAGTGATGGGGGAGTGTGAGTGATGGGGGAGTGTGAGTGATGGGGGAGTGTGAGTGATGGGGGAGTGTGAGTGATGGGAGAGTGTGAGTGATGAGGGAGTGTGAGTGATGAGGGAGTGTGAGTGATGGGGGAATGTGAGTGATGGGGGAGTGTGAGTGATGAGGGAGTGTGAGTGATGGGAGAGTGTGAGTGATGGGGGAGTGTGAGTGATGAGGGAGTGTGAGTGATAGGGGAGTGTGAGTGATGAGGGAGTGTGAGTGATGAGGGAGTGTGAGTGATGGGGGAGTGTGAGTGATGAGAGAGTGTGAGTGATGGGGGAGTGTGAGTGATGAGAGAGTGTGAGTGATGGGGGAGTGTGAGTGATGAGGGAGTGTGAGTGATGAGGGAGTGTGAGTGATGAAGGAGTGTGAGTGTTGTGGAGGTAAAGTTTCTGGGGCCCTCTCTCCCGAGAGAGTTTTGGTACAGGATCGTAGTCCTGCGAAGAGCAGCACGAGGGGTGGCGAGGGGGTGAGTCAGGTGTCAGATCGGTAGGTGATGGTGTTTGGGGAGGGGGGGGGTGCTGGGGGTGTGTGGATGAATTGCTGTATCGGGTGAGGGGTAGCAGCAGTAGGGGGCACACACACGCACCCACGTGTGTGTGCGTGTGTGTGATAGACACTCACAGTATCGTCGTCTGCGGAGCCACGCGTGGGACGGTGTCCAGCATGAGATGCATGCAGCGAACCGTGGTGCGGAAACAGAGGCACCGGCTCGGACAAGCGACTCCCAGCCCTGGCAGCAGCAGCAGCACGAGAAGCAGCAGCGGCGGCATCATCATCATCATCAGCCGGCAGCTGCGGAGTGCCGCCGGTTGCGACGCGCGCATGGATAAGTGTGGGGGAGAGGGCAGAGGAGCCGGCGAGTTAAGCCGCCTTCTCCACCCACCCCCTCGCCCCCCCCCCCCGCTCTCTCCCACCCCCCGCGAAGCTGCGGTTGTGAGTGAGTGAGAAGTGCACGGTGGAACTGGTGGGGAGGAGGCTGGCGGTGGCGGTGCTGGTGGTGATGGTGGTGCCGTTCCGCCTCCCGAGATAGTCACCCAATAGCAAGAGAAGGGTTAAAGTTAAATATGGGGGGGGGGGGAGAAGCAAAGTTTGCTCTAGAGTTTTTGTCTCTCTCCCTATTGTGCTTGTTTAACACGCAGGCTGTCGCGACCAATATTATTCATAATAAACGTTTTGTTGGGTTAGAGTGCGTCGCGATGGTTAGGAGATGTTAACTACCTCGCCTGGTACACAGGAGGTCGTGGGCTCGATCCCGACCCTGACACCTGCTGCTGCTGCTGTATATTTGGAGTCTGCGTGTCTCTCTCCCCGTGGCCGCGTGGATCTTTCTTCGGGTCCTCCGGTTTTCCCTGCCACATTTAGAATCAACATCACGCCTTCAGAGCATTTGGCTGCTCTAGATTTCCACGCGATAAGCCACTTCGTTGTGCTGTCATTTGTAGCCAGATCGCTTTTAAAAAAGAGATACATAAATCAGAGGGCCTTACCTGGTAAAAAAATAATGATTCAGTTTTAATATAAATGTGTCGTTAACCCACCACCACCTGACACAGCCAATTAGTAAGGTTTGTCCCGTGAACAAAACGTGCCAATTATTTACTGCTTCAGCGCAACGGTGTTGTGATGCCCATTCCGCGTGTTTACTCCGGGTAGCCTCGATCAGCCATGCGACCCTCTTTCAGGAGTGTCCCACCTAAGCCTTTTGTGTGCTGAGAATTGATGGTTGCTCATCGTAACCTCTCTATCGAGTCCGTTGCTCTTCTAGAGTTGTCGACAGGGGAGGGTGAGGAGTATTGCCGATAACACAATTCTGGTATACAATCTGCTGATGAGACCCAAGTAGGTTGACATTTGTGCAGCGTTTTACTGATTAAACAATGATGCTTGATAGTGTTGGTTTGGAAAGAAAATACTCTGATTAACTAAAACGTACGTTTATTTATGCTTGGAGACAGAGCGGATTTCCGCTTATTTTGGCTTCAACCATTTCTTATACATCCCTGTGTAGCTCATGCGACTTGTGCTGGCAATGCTGGTGCTGGTTTAAGCGGTGGTCGTTCATGTACTCCTAACCACCCAACACCCCACCCGCGTGGTGAAGTATGGTCAGACAAGCCCTATGATTGAAACACCGAGGGGAGATCATCCCTTCAAATCTTGGACTGGCAAAGGGCTGGATATGGGTTAGAGTATTTCAATTGTGGGACTTTAACACTGTGTTAGGGCTACTGGATGCTATTAATTTGTTATTGCAGTGCAGTCATTGTAATTGAGGTCACTTTTTCCAAAGGCGGTAATACATCTCATTCGGCGTTATCCTTTGTTCAATAAAGAAGATCAATAAATCAATTGTATGAAATTTATGGCTCTCATAAGGACATGCATGGCACTTAAACACGCGGATTTTCTTAATGTAGTCTCACCCTCATCTGCATGCATAGTTAACACGGTACGACTCGTGTGAATGAATGAATGCGTTTATAGTATGTGCTGCGCGGTCAGAGGCCATAGGCAGAATACATTTAAAATGAGTAGGACTGTCTTCACAGAACCAATTAAACATTGTCTTGGGTAATCTACTGTTGTATGAATGGCTCCCCAAGCTGTTTCCATATCTCACCATCTCCCTCACAGAAACATTTTTTTATTATAAATACAGTAGAGATATAATTTTATGTCTCTGTAATATCTTGGAAGGGTTGAGGTCGGACTGGTACATGGATGGGAGACTGTGTAGGGATACCACGTGTTTTAAGCTTGGGCAGTAACGAGGCCATTCGATAGCAGCACAGTAATTGTCTAGAATCCATCTGTGTGTAGCTTTCAGTGTTACATCCTCTTGCATGTGTGGGGTTTATCTGTGTGCTTCCTCCGACAAACCAAACACTTTATTTGTAGAATTGACCAAACATCTCAATATAGGACCTCTGAAATGGGCTTTGCGGTATTAAATATATTGCATGATTATTATTATTAGCAGCATAGCTAATGATCCTCTGTGGAACACATAACAGTATTTCCATTTGTAAATGAGCTCCCGAATTATACTCATATTGCAAGACATGCATATTGTGTAAACACACCCTTGGGTGGAGCAGTGGTTAGCACACTTTGCCACAAGCCTGGCAACCCGTGTTCGATTCTAGGCCACGGCTAACATCAGCCACAAACATACTGTGGCTGATCCAGCAGTCGATTTACTAAGGGATGTACGTGACAGCATTGTTTTATTCACCAGCTGAAGAGCCTCTGTTTTGCATTGAAAGTGATCGAGCCAAGGCACGCAGACCAGTCACGCGTAAGGAAAGTGTTGTGGCTTCTGCGAGAACATGTTAACATGTTGGCACAGGACAGAGACCACACAGAGCAAGCACTAAGATGGTAGAGAGTCAGCAAAGCTAACCTAATGGAGGGATAGCGAGCATAGTAAATTACATTGTGCGTGGCATAGCAAGGATTGGAGTTAGCCAAAGTGAAGAAGACAAAATCATTATGCGCACATCCGTCACAGATGTGTGGAACGACTATGGCTATTAATTGGCTATTACAGGTTGAATTCTTAATAACAAGTCTAACATTGGCAACCACCACATTGTAATATATGGTGTAATAATAGTAGTGTTATTTAGAGAAGCCTCACTGAGTCTCAGGACCCCTTTTTAGGAGGGCCCTGCATTGGGCTTTTGGCCAGTTTCTTCTCAATGAGTATTTTTGAATTGTATGGTCCAAATTCAAAGTGACAGGAGAAAACCCAGCGTGCATACGAGGGTTTATTGTTTAAGAGCGCCTCATAAATCTAATTAATTCGCATTACATACAAAGGTCCTCACGAATGGGCTCACGAACCCACTTGCCATGCTTCCATCGCCTAGTTAGCTCGCAGCCCCTCCTGGTTCAAGCGTCAAACATCTCCACGCGATCCGATCCACCGAAGAAGCGTGCGTGAAGTCCACACTTCTCGCTGTGGGTTGGGGAAAGTTTAAAATTCCTTTCCATTAAAACCAGTTTGCGTTCCCAACATTGCAGCCGCAGGAAAGCTCTCCTTTTAATCATTAACCATTGAGAGCCCATTGTCAGTCCACTGCCGAATGGGGGCCTCCTTGCACCGTGCCAGTCGTGATGGGTTGACCATATTTCACCGCTCTAGTCATTGAGGGTAGGTGAGAAGTTGTGGGTCGGGGGTGGTCCCAAGACTGATGCAGACATCATTCGCCACTGATGTTCACTGGCTGGGAATCAAACTCATGTCAGGGGGTTCATAGTGTAGTGGTGCTAACCGCTGCACCACCACTTCATTATGCTCACAGCTAAGACTATGCACAGTAAGTTACGGCGAATGGCTATGGAACTACTTCCAATTTAAAACGCAATGAACAAGGCTACCTAATTTTGTCCTTCATTTGGCTGTTCAATCGTACTTGCCGAAAGTGTTGCATAATTTAGTTGTTGGCTGCTAAATATTTGATTGGTTCAAGGTGTGGATGCATCGCCCCTCATTCCCTCCCCCTTCCCCCTTCGATCGCGGGCCGCGAGGAGTAGCCCTTGAAAATGTGTGGGTGGCTGAAGCGGCAGTCACAGCGCTTTTCATTTAATCTCACATCTCAAATCCGAACACACTCCATGGTGGATGAATAAGAGCGCACAGGCCAAACATACAGAGGCGGTAACAAATTAATCAAATGAAGGGGCGGGGGGGGGGGCAAAGTGTAGTTGGAGTGCTCTTGCCAATATCTCGTAATCCGGGAGTTCGTGCGGGGGGGTGATCGGTGGCTTACCGCATCGCACGATGATAATGTGGCGGCAGTGTGACTGAGCAGGCCTTCATCCGGCAAATCATGGCTGTTGATAATATTTAACAACACTGTATAACAATGATTCGAACATGCGTTGCATGTTAAGATGAAACCATTCGTGTGCATATTCTGCACAGAGCCTTGTTGTAATAGCTGCCGGTTCAAAAGAGCCGAGTGTGGATTTTGTTTTGCTTAATTTAGGCAGCAGGACAACAAGGAGCAAGTGTAAACTGGAGAATATATGCGTGTGGTCATGTCATCTTGACATGCAAAACATTCCTGCCAAGTTGAGTTGTTTGGAAACACCTTTTTTCGTATACAGTGAGGGAAAAAAGTATTTGATCCCCTGCTGATTTTGTACGTTTGCCCACTGAAAAAGAAATGATCAGTCTAAAATTTTAATGGTAGGTTTATTTGAACAGTGAGAGACAGAATAACAACAGGTAACAAGCTGAGATTAGGAGCACTCCCTTTAAGAGTGTGCTCCTAATCTCAGCTCGTTAACTGTATAAAAGACACCTGGGAGCCAGAAATCTTTCTGATTGAGAGGGGGTCAAATACTTATTTCCTTCATTAACATGCAAATCAATTTATAACATTTTTGACATGCGTTTTTCTGGATTTTTTTGTTATTATTCTGTTTCTCACTGATCAAATAAACCTACCATTCAAATTTTAGACTGATCATTTCTTTGTCAGTGGGCAAACGTACAAAATCAGCAGGGGATCAAATACTTTTTTTCCCTCACTGTAACTGGCTTGTTTCCTGCACGCATCATTTTTATTCTCTCCAGACACTGAAAGTGTTTTAATAATGTTAACCTACTCTAATTTTATAAGTACTCAAGTATACAATAAACGGAGATATGTAAATTTAGAATTAAAGCTTTCGTGACTGCAGGGATTCATATTCTTGGTTCTTTCGGTAAAGTCACGTAGAAGGGAAACAATAAAATAATAAAAAAAATATAAAACAATAAAAGAGAGATATGTAAGTAAAATTAAAATAGTTGTTTGGGAACAGGTATGCCACTACTGCCTGCCCCCATCACGAACGGCTTGGCCTCAGCGATTGCCAACCCAGGACCACCTGCAGGC